AGAGACAAGGTCGCATCGCCGAGTCGCCCGAGCGAGCGCAACCCTTCGCGGGCGCTTGACTGGGGAGGTGGCCCTCCGGCAGCTGGCGCGCCGACACCGCCCTCGAGGTTAGTGAAAGGCAGGAGCCCTGCACGCTCACCATACCACATGCGCCCACGGGCAGCGCCCGCCCGAAGTGAGGCGGGACCAACCGCGCTACGGTGGAGCGGCGGCGGCGCATGAACATCCGCTTCTGGGGCGGCAACTCCGGACGGTGGCCTCAGTTGCCTGGCCTGGGAGGGCGAATCCCCGGAGACACGATGCCAGTCCGCGCTCAGGGGTGTTCCGCTGGCCGCGCGGTCACCGTCGGCGACCGTGAAGCGCTCGGACAGAAGTGGCGACGCCGCAGTGCACGGCATACTCCCGCTGCTAAACAGCTGCACCCCATCCGAGGCAAGGGCCGCGCGGAGGGCGACCAAAGGCGGCACCCGTGAGCCTGCTTCGGAGCCGGAGAGGCCTGGCGGCGGATCCACACCCTGAGTGTCGGAGCCCGTGTGCAGGTCCCACAAGTGGAGGTCGGCGCGTAAGGCCGAGGTGGCCCTGGGGCCGCTCCGCGGCGGGGTGCCAGGCTGGTGGACTGCGGTGGCGGCTGGGGGGGCGGTACGAGCCCCTCCCTGCGGGGCCGTATCAGCATCGCTGGCAGGGCGCATGCCAACCCCTTTCGAGCCACACCGCGGCGCCGCCCCCGAAAAGGAGGGACTACCCCCGTCAAGGCCGCAGTCGGACATGGCCGCCGAAGAACCCCGAGGAGGGACGACGGAGCACCCCGCCTCCACCAGGGCCAACGCACCGCTCCAGGGGCGACCCTGTGGCGGCGGAGGCGGCGTCCTCAGTAGAGGAAGCGCGGCCTCTGACGCCGTGGCCCCAGGTCGGACCTGATAGACGACCGTGGGGCTCCAAGCCGCAGCAGCGCCACGGCGCGGGCATGCCGCACTGAGCCTCTGGGAACCAACCTCCAAGACGTCAAGGCCCGGAGGCGGCCCAATCTGCCTGACCGGAGGCCCAGGAGGCAGCGGGTCCAAGCCTGGAGGTGCGCGAATGTATCCGCCCCCGGCGGTCCGAGCAGCATCGTCGGCAGAAGTGGCCGCGGCGATGCCTCCAGCCGAAGGCCAGGAAACCGAGGCGGCGGCAGAGCCCGTGTGCCCCGCGAGTGACGCTCCCCCGCCCACGGTGGAGCAGGCGGGGCCCACAAAGTGGTCGCCATGCTTAGCGGCACAGGTGAGCCAGGTGGCGAAGTAGAGGCAAGGAGAAGGAGTTGGGGGGAGGTAAGAGAGATCCTCGTCCACCACTTCCCTTCCCAAGAGCGCAGTTATCTTCGCAGGGCACCCCTCTGGTGCTTCGGCGTTGAACACGCTGGCCTTGGGTTCGCTGGCAGCAGGAATGGCGGGCATGGCTTGCGCGGCGGCTGAAGCCCTTGGGCGGCGCGTCGGAGCGCCTTTGGCCACCGTGCCCTCCGTCGGGCGTCTCTGTCGCGGCGGCTGAAAGTCTTGCGTAGAAGCGGCGGCTGAGACCCCAGGCGCGGCGGCACATTGAACGCCCGAGACGAGGGCTGGCGCTGCGCCACGACGCAAGGCGTGGCGCTGCGGCGTGTGAGGCCCCCCTCCTACTCCTCTCCTCAGATGGGCCTCCTGCTCCGCCGCCCCAAAGGCCAAGGGGGAGAAGGCGAAGGAGGAGGGAGAGGAGTTTTGCGCCGAAGTCGGCGTGGAGAGCGCCGAAGACCACCAGACTGGTGCAGGCTGGAGAGACCTGCCAACGGCAGGACGTGGCATGGGCCCTGTCCGCACCGCCCGCCGAAGAGCGAGCGGCGACGGTGCTAGCAAGGCCCGGTGGCCACGGCAGGCAGGGTGCCGAAAGGCGCGCCTGCCCGACCGACCACCGCTCAGAACGGACGGTCGGCCCCGACGCTCGCTCTCGTCGTACGGGCCACAGGCGCCGGCCCGACCGACTTGGGCCAGCGCGGGGTGGCGAACCCGGAGCCGACGATCGCCGCGTAGGTGTCGAGGAAACCTGAACGGCGATGGCCCCGCGGGCCCCTGGCGCCCCGGCCGCGCGCGCGCGGGGAGGGGAGTGGGGGGCGAGCGGGGCAGCTATCGGGCCGAGAAGCTGCAGACGACTGCGTAGCGGGCGCGAATGGGGATAGAGAGGTGCAGGAGGAGCAGGAGGAGCAGGAGGCAGAGGAGAAGGAGGAGGATGAGGAGGAGGAGGGAGGAGAAGAAGTAACAACAGCAGCAGCGGGAGGAGCACGAGGGCGAAAACAGGAGGAGGAGGAGGAGGAGGAGCAGGATGAGGAGGAATTAGGGAGGGTACTAAGGAACAGGAGGTGGGAGAAAGGAGGACAATGAGGAGGAGGAGGAAAAGGAAGAGGAGGAGGAGGAGGAGGAAGACCAAGACCCATCAACGACGTTGAATCAACTCTCCCTCCAAGCTCCTTCTTCACAGGCCCCTACAGCTGTTCGTGCCCACCAAAAGGAACTGCCTCGCCCCGTTGGGAGACAACCGGTCGAATACCCAAAAAAGCGTCCTAGAACACCATGGCCGGGACTCCCACGCCACGGATCTGACTGCTGCGCCTGGACGATCCTGAATCGTGCGCGAACACCAGTCCTGGGACTTGAAAACCGCGAATCAACGCAACTGTTGCGCCCTACAGTCGAGGCGTTGACCCAAGGAACCCTAAATAAGGACCGAGGCCCCTTTTTTCCATAAGTTGAACTTCGATTTCCTATCGACAACCAAAGGAGAACCTGAGGCAAGCTGCGAAACATTTAGGGAACGCGGAGCCCCTCCCCAACGAAAAGGGTTCCTTATTCAGGGCCCCGACTGTAACAATCCTGAGTCCGTCCACAACACCATTTCTGGTACGTTGACCATGGGAACCAGAGAAACTCTGGCAAATGTTCAAGACGAGTGCGCGCGGCGCTAAGGTGGGAGCCGCACGTTGAAAACCCGCCGTCCCAAATCCGCAAAACTATTGCAACTCTTGTCAAACGAGTGCGCGCGACGCGAAGGCGAGACCCATTTTGAAAACGACCCACCCTCAATCCGTGAAGCTCTTGCAAAGTTTCAAAACGAGTGTGCGCGGCGCTGATGCGACAGCCACATGCTCAAAACCATCCGCCCTCGAACCGCGAAGCTCTTGCAAATGTTTTAGACGAGTGTGCGCGGCGTTAAGACGGGAACCGCATTTTGGAACAGAGCCGCCCTCCATAATCCAATTGGATTATGTGAATCTGTTGTAAATTCTTAATACGAATGCGCGAGGCGCCAAGGCGAGGGCCGCAGTTTGACCCCCCCTCAACGCGTGAAGTTCTTGCAAGCTGTTGAAACGAATGTGCGCGGCCCCAACGCGAGACCCACATTTTGGAAGCGGCCCGCCCTCCATCTGTGAAACTGTTGCCATTGTTCTAATTTCACGGTCGTACATGGCGAGGAATTCTCAGGCGAAGCGCCCGGTCCGTCCTTGCGACCTGGCTCGGGGTGCGACGACGGGGAGGAATTACTTGTCATGGACAGGAATGGACTAGGAGGAGGAGGAAAAGGAGGAGGAGGAGGAGCAAGGGGAGAAGGATCGCACGCCACTGAAGGGAAAGAGAGAGAGAGAGAGGTTCAGTCCGAAAATCGCTGGGGGGGGGCCCATCCGGGGAGACCTTTTTGTCTCCCCGGCAGGCCACCGCGCCAGCCAAGGGGCCAGCGACAGGGCCCCCCCAAGCATCGGACTCTGCCCCGCGCTACAGTCGAGGCGTTGACCTAAGGAACCCTAAATGAGGAACGAGGCCCCCATTTTCCATAAGTTGAACTTCGACTTCGTATCGAACACCTAAGGAAAGCCTGAGGCAAGCTGTGAAACTCTCAAGGAACGCGGAGCCCCTCCCCAACGAAAAGGGTTCCTTCTTCAGGGCCCCGACTGTAGGGATGTTTCCAGCTGGACGTAACCCACCCACGAGAAACAACCGTCCGCTGACACGGCCTGTACCGTGCCGTGCAAGCTCCACCGGGCGGGCATCCTTTGTCCACAGCCTCGGGTGTCAGCATGGGGGGGGCCAGCGTCGGACCTGGCCGACGCTGGATCCCCCAACCATCCTGTCCATCTCGGCCATCTTCATGGCCACCCACACGAACCCTGGGGGGGAGGAGGCCGAGGATAAGGATGAGGATGAGGATGAGGAGGAGGAGGAGGAGGAGGAGGAGGAAAAGAAAGAGGAGGGGGAGGAGGAGGAGGAGGAAGAGGAGGAGGAGGAGGAGGAGGAGGGGAGGAGAGGAGGAGAAGGAGGAGGAGGAGGAGAGGAGGAGAGGAGGAGGAGGAGAGGAAGGAGGAGGAGGAGGAGGAGGAGGAGGAGGAGGAGGAGGAGGAGGAGGAGAAGAGGGAGGAAAAGAGGAGGAAGGGAGGAGGGGAGCGCGAGGGCAGTGCGGCAGTGCGGCAGTGCGGCGGTGCGGCAGGCGATGACGACGACGACGACGACGAAAACGACGACGAAAACGACGGCGACGACGACGACAACGACGACGGCGGCGGCGGCGGCGGCGGCGACGACGACGACGACGACGACGACGACGACGACGACGACGACGACGACGCGACGACGACGACGACCGACGACGACGACGACGACGACGACGACGACGACGACGACGGCGGCGGCGGCGGCGGCGGCGGCGGCGGCGGCGGCGGCGAGGACGGCGGCGGCGGTCCTGCGGCGGCGGTCCTGCGGCGGCGGCAGGCGGCGGCGGCAGTGCGGCAGACGGCCGCGGGAGGCGGCGGACGGCGGCAGGCAGCGGCAGGTGACGGCGGTCCTGCGGCGGCGGGCGGCGGCAGACCAGCGGCAGGCGGCAGGTGGCAGTGCGGCAGCGGCGGGCGGCGGCGGCGGCAGACGGCGGCGGCAGCAGGCGGCGGCAGACGGCAGGCGGGGTGTGCCGCCCACTCGCGCGGCAGGCGGCGGCGGCGGCCCTTTTCCGTTTGAGGCCTTCTCGACGCACCAGATCTGGGCGTCCCGGGTCACCTGTGGGGGGGGGCGGGGGGGGGGGGGCGAGGGGGGGGAGGGGGGAGGGGGGAGGAGGAGGGCTGAAGAGGTGTGGGGGGGGAGGGGGCGAGGGGGGGAGGGAGGAGGGGAGGAGGAGGGCTGAAGAAGTGTGGTGGGGTGGTGGTGAGGGGGGGGACCAAGACCAGCTCATGGAGACCCTGCTGTCATGTGCCACTACACTCTCGCCGTGCAACAGACAGCTGTACTCTGAGGGGGAGCCCTGAAAGACTGCAAACTCCGACTTAACTGTGCAGCGGCTGCCGCACACTGCACAGGACAGCACTGGCCGACCGGGACCCCTTTGAGGCACGCGACCCCCTACGGGGCCCGACACACAGGCGCGAGCTAACTGACATCACTCACCTCGGGCCCTCTCTTCCTCCCAGGGGGCGCGGGCCTTTGGCCGTCTTCGGCCTCTGCAGGAGCCCTCGCCAGGCCCCGGGGCCGTCAAACAGACACTCGCGATGGAACGCCTGGTCCCAAGGGGGAGGGGTCCAGGCCTCCAGGGCGTAGGCTGTGGAGAAACGTTTTTTTGACTCGCGGGTCGAGAGCGCACCTCTTCCGGTCGAAGCTAAGCAGGCCGCGCGAAGCTTGACTTAACCAGAGATGGGGGAGGAAAGGGGGGGCGCAGCCTCAGAACGAGGCCGGGAGGAGGCAAAGCCTCGGAGTCAGGCGGTGCCGTAGCCGACGCACTTGCAAAGGAACGCCTTGTCCATGAACCCAGTGGTTGATTGTGGAGAAACACGGCGCTCGAGCTCTGGGGTGAGAGAGGGCGGGCAAGGGGGGCAGGGAAGAAGGGCAGGACAAGGCACAGGGAACAAGGGGGACGAGGGAGACGGGAAGTGCGGGCGGGAGAAGAGGGTGGGACAAGTTATATGCGCCCGCGCCAAGTCTGATATCCTATTCCTCCACCCGTCCCTTCCCACCCATCCTCTCCACTTGCGCTCATTTGCCGTTATCTAAACGCCGACGTGTGTCATGGCGGACCTGGAGCTCCCAAACAAATCCCATCGTGTTATGCGCAGTCGGAAAGGGGGAGCTGCATACATTACACGAAGAGGAGGATGATGATGAGAAGGAGGAGGCGGCGGAGGTGGCGGATAAGCAGTGGGATGAACAGGAAGAGAAACATGAAGAAGAGGGAGGACACATACGATCAACAGTAACATGAGCTGGAGAGGAAGGAGTGGGAGAACCAGGGGAAGGCGGATGAGAAAGGAGGGGGGCGACAACGATGAGGAAGAACCCGGACGCAGAAAGGTGGCCCGAGCTGGGACGACAACGACATCTTGAACGGCGGGAGCAAAACACCCATCCTGAAGCGACGCCCGCGCCGCAACGGAACTCGGTGTGGAACAACACACAAGACTCACGCAAGCCGGATCTATCCTTAGGTGTAAGGTCCAGGGACCCTCCCGTGACGCATGTGCTTCGGATTTTCGTTCTAGTTTTGTTCCACTTTCGTTCTTGTTTCGCTGCTTGCTCGGCTTGATCCGACGCTCTCCCGAGCCTAGATGGCAACGGAAGGAGGATGGGGGCTGAGGGCCCGCCCCAGAGGGTCGAGGGCGACACCTTGAAAACGAATGTTTCGCGAGTAGACAGCACATCGCGGACGGGGGCGCACCACGGTCAAGATGCATCGCGCGGAGGTCGAGGAGGAGGAGGAGGAGGAGGAGGAGGGGGAGGAGGGGGAGGAGGAGGGGGAGGAGGGGGAGGAGGGGGAGGGGGAGGAGGGGGAGACGCGCGGCGGGAGGAGGAGCGCAGAGGCACACCGTGCAGTTGTGGGGCTCGGGTCGGCGAGTGCAGCCGCCGGAAGAGGTCCCGGGGGGGCCTCTGTCGGACCAGTGCGCAACTCTTCCAACAGGGACTGGCCACGGAATTTCTCACCAGCCCTCTGGGCGTCGGTGGTTTAGGGCGTTTCCTCTTCCATCCCTCCCTCTTGCCCTTCGGAGAGGGGTTTACCCCTCCCCCTACCCCCTCCCCACTGACCTGGACGGATTTCTCACCACGTAGACAAGTCAAAAGCAGGTTCAAGCCCAGCGACGCGACCTATAGGCAAATGTCCAAACGGGGTTCGAACAATAAAATACCAACTCGAACTCAGCGATAAGTTCCAATCGAATCACACACGAAACGGCTGTGTCGACTACATGGCAATTCGAAACCCAACCTGGGATCTAACGCGAAACCTTCTTCCACGTTTAAAACCCGAGCGACGGAAGCCCACGAACCACAACACAAGCAAAACGAATTGCATTACCCTGGCGAAGAACCAAAGCCACTCTACGGACATGGCAACGCCCAAGTGACAGCTCAACGCACAACGAACTCGTCAGGGGACTCCGCAGTGCCCCTGACAAACTCGCCAGAGAACGTCGGAGCAGGCTCGGTATGCACTCACGCGACGCATAGCACACGCGGGAGGTTCACCACGCACGCGGCGAGGAGCACGAGGGCGAGGGCAAAGGAAACAGGGGGCAGGATGAACTTTAGAAGCTGTTAATAGCTCCAGTGCAGCGCGCGGAAATCCAGGCAGGGGGCGGCGCGACGAGCGTGACCGACGCGGACAAGCGGGATCTAACGCAGGTCCGAAGGACAACTGCGTCAACCAATGCACTGGATACGTGGGAGGAACAGCAGGTCCGAAGGACAACTGCGTGTAATGATTAATTATATCAGATGGTAACTCGGTCTGGGTGGAGGTGGTCCTCCACCGACTCACGAATGCGCGCAGAGTCCAGAGTCTAGCGTGACCTGACACGGATCAGTAAAATCGAATGCAGGTCCGAAGGACAACTGCGTCAAAAAGTGCACTGGATATGCAGGACAAGCAGCAAGTCCGAAGGACAACTGCGTCGAACAACTGTCCACGCGAAAAATTCGGTCTGGGTGAGTTTGGTCATTCTCCGACGCGAAAATGCGCGTGGAGTCATCCAAAGTCTGGCGTGATCCCACGCGGATCACCGGAATATTAAAGCCAACTGCGCCAAACAATGCATGTGGGAGTAACTGCATGAGAATCCTGCCAATGAGGCCGTCGGTGGAGCTCCCTGTGGGGCCACGAAACTTGTGAGGGGTGTGCCAAAGTGGACCCGGGTACGCTTGCGAACCTTGCCACTGGGGCCTTCGGTGGAGCTCCCTATGGGGCCCCGAAACGTGTAAGGGGTGTGCTGAAAAGGACCCAGCTAGGCATGCCAACCCTGCCACTGGGGCCCTCGGTGGAGCTCCCTTTGGAGCCACGAAACGTGTGAGGGGTCTGCCGAAATAGGCCTGGGTACGCATGCCAAACCTACCACTGGGGCCTTCGGTGGAGCTCTCTCTATGGGGCCACGAAGCGTAGAAGGGACGTTCCGACATTGACCCGGGTACGCATGCGAACCCTGCCACTGGGGCCCTCGGTGGAGCTCCCTATGGGGCCACAAAGCGTGTGAGGGTCGGCCGACATGGGGCGGGTTCCCATGTGAACCCTGCCACTGGGGCCTTCGATGAAGCCCCCTGTGGGGCCACGAAACGTATGAGGTGTGGGCGGGTACCCAAGTGAACTCTGCCACTGGGGCCCTCGATGGAACCCCCCACGGAGCCTCGAAACATGTGAGTGGTCTGCCACAGTGGAGCGGGTACCCATGTGAACTCTGCCGCATGGGCCCTCGGTGGAGCCCGCTCATGAAGCCACGAAGCGTGTGGTGGGTCTGCCGAAATGGGGCGGGTACCCATGCGAACCCTGCCGCTGGGGCCCTCGGTGGGGCCCCTTCATGGGGCCACGAAACGTGTGAGGTGTCTGCGAAATGGGGTGCCCATGCGAACCTTGCCACTGGGGCCCTCGGTGGAGCCGCCGATGGGGCCAGGGAACTTGTGAGGGGTCTGCCGAGATGCGAGCATGCAAACGAGAAGAGGAGGATGAGGCCTCCTTCGCTGCTAGAGCCGTCGCTGGGGCCTTCGGTGGAGCTCCCTAGGGGGTACGAACCGTGGTGTGAGGGGTGTGACAAACATGTGATGATAATGATGAGAGTGGTGATTAATATCAAGATGATGATGCCGACGAGGAGGAGGAAGAGGAGGAGCAGGAGGAGGAGGAGGAGGAGGAGGAGGAGGAGGAAGAGGAGGATAACGAGAAGGAGAAGGAGGAGACGCGCGGCGCTGCGAATTCAAAACGAATAGCCAACTCCACAGTAGGGTTGGGAATAAACGACCCACAGGTATGTAGAAGTACCAAGTTGGCCGCAGCCCTCCCTCAAAGTATGTTTTTTTGGGGGGCGTCAATGGATGGGTTCATTATTGCCGCTTCCTTTTCAATATTCCGGCTCCTTGCGATCGTCGCTCGATTCCTAACTGACTACCTGGGCAAGGGCCTCTTCGTTGCCATTGACGATTCGCTCGCGTATTTTCGCGTCGCCCTCAGAAGCTGGGGTGGGTGACCCATACCCATTTGTCTTGGCCTGGCCATCGTCGAGACTCGGGTGCACGCAGGGGTGGTCGAGGGCAATCGCCGAGACCATGCTCCGACGAGACAGGGCCAGTCCCGGAAGCCCCCCACTCTGGGAGCCCAAACTCGATCGGATCAGCCAGGGGCAGTGGGGTGAAACGGCAGTGATCGACAGCGATGCGGCCCCTCGGGGGATTCCGACTGGTTATCCGCACTGGGCACCAAGACACCGCGGCTGCACCCCCCCCCGCTCAGGCCACGAGGTTGGATTGTCCCGCTCACACCCAACACCGCCCCCCTACGGTTTTTCTGGCGATGGCGGCCGTGCCCTCATGGGACAGCCGTCGCAATCCTCCTCCTCCTGCCGCCCCCATCATCGTTGAAGGAGAACTGCTTAACAATGTGCCTTGAGAAGAAGGACAGAAAAGGTGGATTCAAAAAGTGGGCGCTCTCCTCCGCAACGCGGCGCGATCTTCTCCAACCTAAAGAAAATCATAACCGTAAACTTCCGAAGGGTCGCGCGGCTTCCGCCTTCCCATCGCGGAGCCTTCACGGTGGCCGAGCGCGGCTCGTCGAACAGCACCGCGCGCTCCCCGAAGTAGGCGCTGGACCCCATCGTGCGCACCGCCTTGCCGTCGATGATGATTCCCACCTCCAGGGGACACCCTCCGACCACGGGTGGGCCCTTCGAGTGCAGCGCTCTCTTATACGGCCAGGGACCGTTGCTTAGCGTGTCGGCGATGCGCTATGCCCTCCAAGCGGACAGCGTGTCGCTCTGCGCCGCGGGGCGGGAGGCTCAGGAAAGGTACGGCCCTTGACGCTTAGGGGACTTGGACGTGGATAGCTTTGACGTGGATAGCGCGTCGCGCCGAAGCGTGGTGGGCCCCAGACCCGGCGGCACGACGCGCTAAGCTGAAGTCCCCGACCCTACGTGGTCCAGATGACTCTGGGGGCCAGAGGAGGCAGGCGGAGGACGACAACCATGGGAGGAGGATTCTGTTTTGCTGCGCTGCGACTGGCACATGGCCAGCGGCGGCCAGACGGCCATGTCAAGGCGCCCAGGAGTGCCTAGCGGGCCCCCGTGAGAGGCTTTGTGGAAGTTTCAAGATGGCGACGTGGCACCGAAAATTAAAGTCGGATGTGCCCCTCGCATGGATCGCGGTTCTGAGCCTCAGCGAATGCCTTAAACATACAGAATACAGAACAGACTCCTCCTCACCACCCAAGCGTCTTCACACGAGACTGCAACACCTAGGCTTACGTCGGGCGTGTCCCCCTACAGGGGGATCTTCGACGAAAAATAAAAAAATACGCCAAAAATACCCCAAAATGGTTAACACATGCTCCAAAAATAGTCCCCATATTGTGTCTGGACTATGTTTGATTATTTTTGGGATAATTTTTCATGGTTCGTCGAAAATCCCCCTGTAGGGGGACAGGCCCGCCTTAAACCTAGGCGACTGCAGCACTGGCGGACTGGAACAACAAAAAAAACAAGGCTGCGCGCACGAGAAGCGGGAGTCCTGCTTTAGCTGGGCCTAATGGGGTTCCCCCCTCGCACGTGCATCCCGGCGTTGGCTTTGGCCCGCTGGCAATTATCTCGCTTGTCGTTCCAAGCTTGCACTCCAGCGTTGGCTTTTGGCCCGCTGGCAATTATCCGGCGTGCGATTCCATGCTCGATACGACCCGCTCTCTGGAATCGTCCTTGGAGCCGCAGATAAAAAAAGGAAGCGGGCGGCGGCGGCCGAGAGCCCCTGAGCCAGCACCCGGGCACTGACAGGCAGAGCCGAACAGCACAGCGGGGGCGGAAGGGCGAACGCTGGCGTGTGGCCCCTCCTCCTCCTCCTCCTCCTCCTCCTCCTCCTCCTCCTCCTCCTCCTCCTCATCCCCCTCCCCCCCTCCTCCCCCTCCTCCCCCTCCTCCTTCTCCTCCTCCTCCTCCTCCTCCTCCTCCTCCTCCTCCTCCTCCTCCTCCTCCTCCTCCTCCTCCTCCTCCTCCTCCTCCCTCCCGCCCTGGAGGGGGCCCCGAGCTGGCCTTAAGACCGCTCCAACATGGCCCGCGGGGCCCCTAGTAGAGGGCCCAAGGGGCTTCCCCGACGGACTCGCGAGAGGGGCCCCGGAGGGGGGCCCCGAGCTGGCCTTAAGACCGCTCCAACATGGCCCGCGGGGCCCCTAGTAGAGGGCCCAAGAGGCTTCTCCGACGGACTCGCGAGAGGGGCCCCGGAGGGGGCCCCGAGCTGGCCTTAAGACCGCTCCAACATGGCCCGCGGGGCCCCGAGAGGGCCCAAGGGGCTTCCCCCCGACGGACTCGCGAGAGGGGCCCCGGAGGGGGGCCCCGAGCTGGCCTTAAGACCGCTCCAGCATGGCCCGCTGGGCCCCGAGAGGGCCCAAGGGGCTTCTCCGACGGGCTCGCGAGAGGGGCTAAAACAGGGCTAGGATCGGGATAAATCGCTCCAGAGCGTTCCGGAGCGCTCTCAGAGCGTTCCGGAACGCTCTGGAGCGGCCGCGGCGCCCGATACATCCTCCAAACCCGCCCGTTCTCAGAGATTTCGAGTCATCCCGATCCGATGTTGTCCTCATCTTCGCGTCGTTTTAGGGGCCCCGGAGGGGGGCCCCGAGCTGGCACTCCGGCCGGCCCGGGGCCCCCACAGAAGCGCCCGGGCGGCTCGCGTGGGGGCGGACGACGACGACGACGACGACGAGGACGACGACGACGACGACGACGACGACGACGACGACGACGACGACGACGACGACGACGACAAAGGCGACGACGGACGTTGCTGACGTTGCTCCCGCCGCCCGCCGCGGGCCCGCCGCCGGCGGGCCCGCCGTCGCTGCCCGCCGACAGGCCCCCGACGCCGCGCCTTATGATCGCGGCGTGGGCCCCTCCTCCTCCTCCTCCTCCTCCTCCTCCTCCCTTCCTCCTCTCCTCCTCCGTCCTCCTCCTCCTCCTCCTCCTCCTCCTCTCCTCCTCCTCCTCCTCCTCCTCCTCCTCCTCCTCCTCCTCCCCCTCCTCCTCCTCCTCCTCCTCCCTCCTCCTCCTCCTCCTCCTCCTCCTCCTCCTCCTCCTCCCCCTCCTCCATTATCCTCCCATCGTTCCTAACCTTCCGCTCCTTGGTCTTCGGGCCATAGCTCGGGACTCTCGCGCCCGTTCGGGACGATTCTCTCTGGCAGCCCCGGAAAGCTCTCGGCGAGGCGCAGCCGCTGGAAGGCATCCCGAAGCTGGAAAGCCGTCGAGAACCGACGAAGACACACGAAAACCTCGAACCTCGAACCCGAAAGGAAACCACTCTGGGCCTCGAAAGCCATACAAATACTTCTGACAAATGTCGGGAAAAGATGGAAAACACCTGAGCTATCCCCCGAGGCTGGAAGGCGTCCAAAGGCTGTCAAACAATCCAGAAACAACGAAAACGCCCGAAAGCCTACGATCTCGAGCCTTGAACCCAAACTTCCCCCCATATTCGCCTCTGGCGCCCGTTCGGGACGATCCGGGCCCCCCCTGAATGCTCTCGAAGTGGCGCAGCTGATGGAAATCCACCTGGGCCGTGCAATCGAGAACGCTGGGGGGGGCAGCGCTGTTCCCGGGGCCAGACCCCCAACACGCTCGGTCGGCGCGCTTTGATCCGTCAACACAGCAATCCTCACGACCCCCCTTCGCAAGAGGCTCAGATCTCGTGCTCGCTCTGGAGGAGGAGGAGGAGAAGGAGGAGGAGATGAGGAGGAGGATCAGGAGGAGGAGGAGGAGATGAGGAGGAGATGAGGAGGAGGAGGAGGAGGAGGGAGGAGGAGGAGGAGGGAGGAGATGAGGAGGAGGAGGAGGAGGAGGGAGGAGGAGGGAGAGGGAGAGGGGGAGGAGGAGGAGGAGGAGGAGGAGGAGGAGAGGAGGAGGAGGAGGAGGAGGAGGAGGAGGAGGAGGAGGAGGAGGACGAGGACGATCGGGCTGCTCCAATCTGCTTTTTCACCCCACGAGCATCACCCGCTCCTCCGTCGCCCTGGAAGCACGGAGGTCGCGCTCCCCGCCGCTGCCCCTATCAAGAGCGAGCCGGGGCCCGCTCGAGCACCTCGGACGGCCGTCGAGCCACGGCGAGGACGAGGACGAGGACGAGGGCGAAGACGAGGACGACGACGACGAGGACGACGACGAGGACAGCGACGAAGAAAAGGACGAGGACAGCGACGAGGACGGCGACGACGACGACGACGACGACGACGACGACGACGACGACGACGACGAGGATGACGACGATGACGACGACGAGGTCAACGACGACGTCGTCGACGACGACGGCGAAGACGAGGACGAGGACGAGGACGAGGACGAGGACGACGACGACGGCCCTAACGCCCAGAGGCGGCGTGGGGCCGCCTCTCCGGTGGCGATGACGTGGAAGGTGGAGCCGCGCTGGCCCTGGCCGGCTCGGCCAGGCGGCCAGTGCACCGCGGTGAGCACCCCGCGGACGCGGCCAGGCGGCCGCCGCAGCCGACGCGAGACCACCCCTCTGGTCTCCTCCCTGTCCTCCTCGTCCTTCTCCTCCTCCTCGTCCTCCTCCTCCTCCTCGTCCTTCTCCTCCTCCTCCTCCTCCTCCTCCTCCTCTACCTCGTCCTCCTAGTCCTCCTCGTCCTCGTCCTCGTCCTCCTCGTCCTCCTCGTCCTCGTCCTCGTCCTCCTCCTCCTCCTCCTGCTCCTCCTCCTCCTCCTGATCCTTCTCGGGGAGAAGAAGTCTTAATCTCTATCCACGTTCCCTTCTTCCAGCTCGCTATCATTGTCATGTTCGGCATACTCATCACCCGCATCACTTTTCGTCATCATTATCATGCTGCTGCCGATGGCCATCGTTCCTCACGTCTCTTCCCAGTGCAGTGCCGAGGCCCTGGCATGCGCGTGCGCTCTGAGGGAAGAGGTACATCGCGCATGCTGGAATGCGCCGTGGACTGCACATTTCTCCGCCCACATGCCGGCCCAACGACCTGAGTACGTGCGGCTATACCGCGCCGCAAGAGGGAAGTTGTGCGTGCGTGCCCCTTGCTGAAGACGGCGGGGCCCGCTCGGGTGCCCAACGCGAGGTGGGGGAGGGCAGGAGACGAGGAGGAGGAAGAGGAGGAGGAGGAGGAGGAGGGGGAGGACGAGACAGAGGAGAGAAAACAGCGGGCACCTGTAAGCAAAAACTCGCACGTGGGTAAACCTGTCTCCGCGAGCAGTGCCTGAAAGGATACCTGGACAGACGACCCACAAGAGCGGAAAGCAGACGCGCCAGAGCGAGGCCTCATGCCTGGGCAGAGGAGCTACGCCAAGTGCGCGAGCGAAAGATGCTACCAGCAGGTATACCCCAAACTCTTCCAGTAAGTATGTTTGGGGAGGGAGGCGAGAGGAGCCAACGAGGGAGGAGGCGAGGAGAGGAGGGGAGGAGGAGGGGAGGAGGGGAGGAGGAGGAGGGGAGGAGGAGGAGGAGGCGAGGGAGGAGGAGGCGAGGAGGAACCGAGCTGGCACGACGGGGCAGCAGCTCGAGCCCGCTGGGGGGCCACGCCGCGGACCTCCGGGCACGGCCGCGCGAGACGCCCGGCCAGCACACTCACAGCGCGACGCCGGCGCCGCCCGTGCAGGAGCGGCGGGCCCGCGGGCAAGCGGCGAACGCCACCAGGAGAACTACTTGGTGGTCCCCAAACGTGGTGGTGAGAACACCCGGTGGTGAGTTTTGGGCGATTTGGGTAATGGTTTTCGAGCGCTGGCTGGCCCAGGAAACGCAAAACCTCGTGGCGACCGCGTGTCCCCAAACCCGGTGGTGACCCAGAATCATTTTTTGGGGGAATCGGGGTCACCACCGGGTGTCTCGCCGCCTGGTTTGGAGACCACCAAACTACGCTCTCCGTCGGCGCAGAGCGCCCCGGGAAGGACAAGGCTCAGCATGCAAGACATCCTGCAAGCTGTAGCGCGTGCGCTATAGTTTGCAGGAGCTTCTGCAGAAGCACCCCGCACCGGACGCCGTGAAGGACAGAGGGCCTTGAGCAGGGACCGACGGTCCCGGCATTCCTACATAGCCCTACCACGAAATGTTCGTAGAACACCAAACATGTTCTAAGAACAACAACAATGCTCTTAGAACATATTCCCGATGTGCTAAAACAAGGAAGGCAGTCCCAGCCAGAAATGTTCTAAGAACATGTCTTGGAAACCACAAAAGGTTCTTGGAACATTGTTCGGTAGAGCTATAGGCGAGCCAGGACGTTTCGCCACTGCTTGAGTCGGGGGGGAGGAGGAGAGAAGGCACAGCGAGCAACAGGCTGCGCTTACAGCACCCTCTAGTGCCCCGGATTTCTCCGGCCACGCGGCCTGGACAGCGAGGGGACACGCCAGCCTGCACCACATCGCGTCGAAGTGTGTGGCGACAGGGAGGGAGGAGGAAAAGGCGGGGAAGGAGGGCGGAGGAGGGAGGGGAGGAGAACCGCCCGGGACGAGCGCCTCGGCTGCAACACCAGCCTTCCGGCCGGCCCGACAAAACTGCACCACGGTGGAAATAGGGGGGGAGGAGGGGGAGGCGCAGGACGGAGGCGGAGGACGGAAGAGGGAGGGGAGAAGGACCGCCCTCGACGAGCGTCTCGGCTGCATCACGGGCCCTGTGGCCAGCACGGTCAATCTGCACCACCATTAAAAAAATGGATGGGAACGAGGAGGAGGAGGAGAAGGAGGGGGAGGAGAAGGATGAGGAAGAGGTGGAGGTGGTGGTGGTGGTGGTGGAGGAGGAGGAGGAGGAGGAGGAGGAGGAGGAGGAGGAGGAGGAGGGAGTGGGGACCACCGCCCACGAAGAGTGCCTCGGCTGCATCACCCGTTTCCTGGCCCCGCGCGCAAAGGCCGCACCAAACAGGGAGCGGAGGGACTGGCCGTCGCTCGGACGTCCAGTCCCCGTGTTTTTGCTCGCTCTCGTGCGTGAATTTTTTTTCTCTCGCCAGACGATCAAAGGATGCTTCTCGATGGCCCTCGCCGTAGGACAACTGCACACGCCCGAGCGATGCCAAGTGGAAAAGGGGGGAGGAGAAGGATGAGGAAGAGGTGGAGGTGGTGGTGGTGGTGGAGGAGGAGGAGGAGGAGGAGGAGGAGGAGGAGGAGGGGAGGGGGAGGAGGAGGAGAGGAGGAGGGGGAGGAGGAGGAGAGGAGAAGGGGGAGGAGAAGGAGGAGAAAGGATGCTTCCCGATGGCCCTCGCCGTCGGACAAGTGCACACGCCCGAGCGATGCCAAATGGAAAAGGTGGGGGGGGGCGGCGGAGGCCGCAGGGGCCGAGGGCGGAGGGGAGAGAGAGAGAGAGAGAGACCGGGAGGGGAAGGGGCCCCTGCTACGGTCGGGGCGCTGACCTAAGGAACCCTACATGAGGAACGAGGCCCCCTTTTTTCCAGAAGTGAAAAGGGAGAGAGAGAGAGAGAGAGAGAGAGAGAGAGAGAGAGAGAGAGAGACAAAGAGACCGGGAGGGGAAGGGGCCCCTGCTGCAGTCGGGGCGCTGACCTAAGGAACCCTAACTTAAGGAACGAGGCCCCCTTTTTCCAGAAGTGAAACTTCGACTTCCCATCGAAGCCCTGGGCAGAGGCCACAGGCCGAGGGCGGGGAGAGAGAGACCGGGAGGGGAAGGGGCCCCTGCTACAGTCGGGGCGCTGACCTCAGGAACCCTAAATGAAGGGGAAAACAAACCCAGACATGATGGCGTCAAAAAAAAACCCGGACGGGAGGTTTTTCGCTATTTTCGGCCCCTGGGGGCCCTCGCCGGGCCTCGGGACCGTCAAAAAACGAGTCAGGACGAAAAACCGGCCCCGGGGAAAGGGTCTGGACTTCCAGGGACGCCGTCCTGAAAAAATCAGGACGTCGCATGTCTGGGAACCTACCTCGCTTTTGACCACCCTCGCTTCCAAAAGATACCAAGCGATGCCAAACTACGGCCTGTACTGGTCAGGTCGCTTGACGAGGAGGCGCGTGGTATGACTTGGTTTTTCCTGGAAGCGAAAGCGGGGTAGGTAATTCAAGCTCTGATAAATGAGGAACGAGGCTCCCTTTTTTCCAGAAGTGTGACACTTCGATTTCCCATCGGAGCCCTGAGCAAAACCGAAGGCGAAGTGCAAAACAGCTAAGGAACACCGAGCCCCTCCCCAACGAAAGGGGTTCCTTCCTCAGCGCCCCGACTGTACCAACCGTCTCCTGCTCCAGGCGAGCCATCGCCACGCTGCGAGCCTCACCCGCCCGCCGCGGCGCGGCCGCGCGCCGCCAGCTACTCGAGAGAGCCCTGACTCCAGATCCGCCCTGCTTTGGCTGTTTTTTTCAACTTAGAATTGCGTCGGACATCCACCTATAAGAGGCCGAAGAAGTGGGACAGAAATTTCGGCACCCGGCGTAAAGTAGGGCGGAAATCCACAGAAGTAGGGCGGAACACAGCAACAGAAAGGTAGGGCGGAACTCGGCATCAGCGGGGCTCGAAAAGCCAGGCGGAAATTCCAGGCCCTACTTACGAATTTCCCCAAAGGAGGGCGGACCCGGAGTCGGGGAAGTCCCCCCGACGGCGCGTGACCAGCAGCAGTGAATTGGTGGTCTCCAAACCAGGTGGTGAGACACCCGGTGGTGACCCCGATTCCCCCCCAAAAAAATTCTGGGTCACCACCGGGTTGGGGGACACGCGGTCGCCACGAGGTTTTGCGTTTCCTGGGCCTGCCAGCGCTCGAAACCCATTACCCAAATCGCCCAAAACTCACCACCGGGTGTTCTCACCACCACGTTTGGGGACCACCAAGTGAAGCTTGCCGGAGAACTCTCGCGCCTCCCGGGGCCGGGAGGCCCCCTGCGCGGCGTGCCACGGCCGGTGGCCCAGAAGGCGGCGTTAGGCGCCGAGAGCCCGAAGAGTCACCAACCCAGACATGATGGCGTCGTGAAAAAAAAATCGGGACGGAAGGTTTTTCGCTATTTTCGGCCCCTGGGGGCCCTCGCCGGGCCTCGGGACCGTCAAAAAACGATTCAGGATGAAAAACCGGCCCCAGGGAAAGGGTCTGGACTTCCAGGGACGCCGTCCTGAAAAAATCAGGACGTCGCATGTCTGGGAAGTTCTCCTCGTTCTGGGCGTCGCCGACGCATTTCTCGGTTTCGTGCGCGTTTTTGTTGCTCGATGGTCCAGGATGGTCCTCGATGGTTCTCGCCGAGACAAAATGCACACGTCCGAGCGATGCCAAGCGCCTGGCTTGGCCAGGAGGGCGTAATTATACACAGCTGCTGGGTTCAGGGCGGGCCTGGCCAGGGAGCGGTGGATATGTGTAGATCTCGTTGCCCTGTCCACACCCACCCAAATCACGCGGGACGAGCACTCGGAGTGGAGCGGCGGGCGCCACGATGAGGCGGAGCCAGGACGAGGACAAAATCGGGTGAGGATAACTCGAGGATCTCTGAAGTCCATCATCATCATCGTCACCATCACCATCATCAGCAGCAGCATACTCTTCATCATCGTCATCAGCAGCGTCATCATCACAATCATCATTATCGTCCTCCTCCTCCTCCTCATCATCAGCATCATCAGCATCATCAGCATCATCAGCATCATCAGCATCATCATCATCATCATCATCATCATCATCATCATCATCATCATTATCATCATTATCATATTCTTCTTTTTTCATCATCATCATCATCATCATCATCATCATCATCATCATCATCATCATCATCATCATCATCACCATCATCATCATCATCATCATCATCATCATCATCATCGTCATCGTCATCGTCATCGCAATCGTGATCGTCATCATCACCCTCATCACCATCAGGATCGTCAGCATCTTCATGATGATGATCATCATCATCATCATGATCAGCAGCAGCAGCAATAACAGTCGCATCATCACCATCACCATCGCCACCGCCATCACCTTCATCGTCATCACCATCGCCAGCACTATCATCAGCAACAACATCAGCAACATCATCATCAGCATCATCATCATCACCATCATCAACATCGTCATCAGCAGCATCATCATATCATCGTAATTATCACTATCGTACGCATCATCGTCATATTCATCATCACTGTCACCATCAACATCACCATCAGTATCATCAGCATCAGCATCAGCATCAGCATCGGCATCATCATCAGCAGCATCATCATCCACCTCGCCATCATCATCACCATGAGCATCGTCATCATCATCACGATCCTTATCACCATCGTCAGCAGCATCATGAAAATCATTATCATCAGAATCATCATCAGAAGCATCATCATCACCATCACGACCATCACCATCACCATCACTATCGCCATCGCCGTCATCAGGGTCATCATCAGCAGCATCATCGCCATCACCATTACCATCATCATCCTCATCCTCATCCTCATCATCATCATCATCATCATCAGCAGCATCACAATCATCATCTCCACAACCAGCACCACCATCACTATGATCATGATTCTGATGATGATGATCATCATCATCATCAGCCTCAACCTCAGCCTTTTCCTCAGCTTCAGCCTCAGCCTCATCCTCATCCTCATCCGCATCACCACCCTCACCATCATCATCAACAACATCCCTACTGCCTCCTCCGCCGCCTCCTCGCCGCCGCCGAAGAAAAGGCATCGGCCTGCACGCACACCTCCTGGTCCCTGGCGAACGTCTCCAGGGTGAGCGCGTCGACGAGCTTGGCCACCTTCGCGCGCCGCAGGGAGGCAACGCCGATGGCGCGGTGCGGCCCTTGCCAGCATCCAGCTCCCTTCTCTTCCAAGCCTTCTGCACGACATCACCCTCCTCCTCCTCCTCCTCCTCCTCCTCCTCCTCCTTTCCTCCTCCTGCTCCTGCTCCTGCTCCTGCTCCTCCTCCTCCTCCTCCTCCTCCTTTCCTCCTCCTCCTCCTCCTCCTCCTCCTCCTCCTCCTCCTCCTCCTCCTCCTCCGCTCTCCTCCTTTCCTCCTCCTGCTCCTGCTCCTCCTCCTCCTCCTCCTCCTCCTCCTCCTCCTCCTCCTCCTCCTCCTCCTCCTCCTCCTCCTCCTCCTCCTCCTCCTCCTCCGCAAGCGCGCCTTGAGCTCCTCGAGGCGTTGGAGGCCTGGCCCTCTCCCCTGCTGCCGCCCGCCTTCCTCCTCCCCCCCGCTGCGGCAGCCTGCTCCTCGCTCAGGTACAGGAACGCCGGCACCTTCCGGATCACCGCCATCTTGCGGCTGGAGTCCTGGAGGCACGGGCGGGGCTGGCAGGAGGAGGAGGGAGGAGGAGGAGGGAGGGAGGAAGGGAGGAGGAGGAGGAGGAGGAGGAGGAGGAGGAGGAGGAGGAGGAGTGGAGGAGGAGGAGAGAGGAGGAGGAGGAGGAGGAGTCCAGTAGGAGGAGGAGTCCAGAAGGAGGAGGAGGAGGAGGAGGAGGAGGAGGAGGAGGAGGAGGAGGAAGGGGAGGTGGAGGTGGAGGGCGTAAGAGGGGGGGGAACGATGATGGCCATGAGTGGGGAAGAGCAGACGGTGAAGCAGGAGGAGGCCGAAAACAAGGCAGATGAAGAGGACCAAGAGGAGACGGAGGAGCAGGGGTGAGGAAGAGGAGGAAGAAGAGGAGGAACAGGAGGAGGAAGAGGAAGAGGAGGAGGAGGAGTAGGAGGAGGAGGACGGGCAGGAGCAGGGGGAAAATGACTCAGGACGCAGGGTGGCCGCGAATCAGTTCCGTGTGGGACCTTTGCCGGGGGCGTGCAGCACTCCAAGGCAGCCCGCAGACCAATTGAGGAGACGGAGGAGGGGGAGGAAGGAAACGGGGCGAGGAAAAGGAGGAGGGTAAGGAGGAGTGAGGCTGCGAGGAGGAGGGGGGGGGAGGAGGAGGACGGATGCGAGAAGAACGCGGAGGGGGGAGGCATGAGAGGGAGAAGAGGTAAATGAGGGAGGACTAGGTGAATATGACGGCGATGTTGATGTGATGATAGTGCTGATAGTGCTGATGATAATGATGATGATGATGATGATGATGATGATGATGATGATGATGATGATGATGATGATGATGATGACGATGATGATGATGCTGGCAATGATGGCGGCGGCGATGATGATGGTTATGTGACGGTGGTGCCGGTGAGGACGATGGCGGTTGTGATGGCGATGGTGTTGATGTTGATGATGCTGGTGATGATGTTGACGACGACGGCGGCAACAATGACGATGATGAAGATTGCGCTCGTGCCAACGATGATGGTCATGATGATGTTTTTCCTGAACGTCAAAACCACCTGCAAAACGATGGCGTACAAATGTGAGGAGGTTTCATACGGTCCGTCGCATAGAGCCTCGGATCTCGCATTGCCCCGCAGCAGGGCCTGTCGTCTAAGGTGCTTCGCAGCAGGGCTTCCTGCGCAGCGCGTGCCTAGCAACCTCGGGTTCTGCCGTCAACTGAACATAACAACTTTTGCTTCGTCTTCGGCGGCTGTATCTGCCCAGAGCGGGCGAAGCCTCCACCTCGCGAGATTCCTCTGCGTGCGCTGGCACGGTATATGATGATGCTGATGATGTTGCTGGTGATGAAGATGACGATGACGATGGTGATGGTGATGTTGATGCTGATGGTGATGGTGATGATGAGGAGGATAGTGAGGATGATTACGATGATGGTGATTATGCTCATGACGATGATGATGCTGATGATGATGATGATGATGCTGATGACGCTGATGATCGTAGCGTCAGCACACCTGACCCTCCTCCTCCTCCTTCTACTCCGGCTGCTCCTCCTCCTCCTCCTCCTCCTCCTCCTCCTCCTCCTCCTGCTACGGACCTCGCATGACCTCGCGGACCTCAGGCGCGCCTGGTCAAGCTAGGCCCAGCCGGCGCACCACTGCGCTGAGTTTGGGACCCCACGCATGGGACCAAACACCGAGAAGGGGGGATAAGGGGGCAGGGGGAGCGGAAGCAAAGAAAGGAAAGGACGAGAGGGGGAAAGGTTGGCCCAGCTTGTGAAGGGCCCCATGGAGCAGCCCCCAGGGGAGCTCGTAGCGCTCTACGCTCTTCTTAGGGGGTGCTCACATCCAGAGAGAAGTTTCCCAGCCCTGACGCTGGCGAGGCCCTCGCATTCAACGCAAAATGCCACGGGCGCGTCTGCCGCGGCGTGGGCAGGCTCGACCCTCGCCCAGTGCAACTTGTGGCCCGAACCCCCTTCACCCCTGATGGGCGCAGCAAGCGATGGGTTGGGGCCATCACATTGGGCATCCATGGAACTGGACACCGCGCTCAGACATCTGCGGCACCGCATGGCCGAACCGCGGGACACAAGGTCATGCAGGGCCTCCCCGCGGCAGTCGGGGCACTTGGGCCCTGGGGGCCGAATTCGCTCCACGCGCCGGGCCTCGCTCGCGAGGCAGCGCCTCCCCATGCGTGGGCGGCCCCAGCGACGAGAGCCCGAGATGTAAGCTCGACCCTTTCAGAGGCCTCGAGCCCACGCGGGGCCAGACACCGGGAGGCGGGCCTCTCGCTTGGCCCACCAACCCGCGGCGCCCGAACTGAGTATCGTTTAACCGATCCCCATCCCCAGCGGCGTGGCCTGGGCCCCACTGGCCGATTTACCCCCCTAGGTGGGGATATGGGTCGTTCCCTTCGGGTTTCGAGGGGTGTATCCCCAACTTGGGTGGTAATTTGGTGGGGGTCTCGAAGGGGATTGGGATGGGGATGGGGATTGGTTGAACGATACTGACGAACCTGGAGTGCCCCGCCGGACCATCCTGACGCACCGCGGCCAGGCGCAGGGCGGCGGGCCTCGACTCTCCCGGGGGCACGGGGGGCGAGCGGCCCCCGCCCCCGACTGCGCGGGCACGGGGCCCCCCCCAAAGAAGGAGCAACCGCAGAAACAAAACGCCCAGGGGCTGAGCCCCTGGGCGAGAAGGGAACTCGCGCGATTCGCGTGCCTCCGTCGACCGAAATCGCCAAATCAGGGCAAGCGATCGGCGACGACCGCGTTTGACGCCACCAGTGAATACATGAAAAAATGCAAACACAAATTTGTCGAGGCCCTCGTTTTGTTTCCTGGTGGGCGCAACACCTGGGGGCTCCCCCCGGGGCCCCGGGGCCCTGGACGGACGAAGCGCCCGTCGACACAACGCAGCCCGAACCGCGGACATGGGCTCGAGGTGGGCCCCGGGGCCGGAAGGGCCCTCGCGGCGCGGAGCCCCTTTGGGCCAGGGCGCCGTGCTCGGCGCCCCGGGGGCTCTGGAAGCTTTCAGGCAGGAGGGGGCTGCAGACCCAGACCCCCTCGAGTAATGAAAAAATCATGACGGGAGGTTTTTCCTACTTTTCGGCCTCCGGGGGCCCTCACTGGGCCTCGGGAGCGTCAAAAAACGGACTCAGGGTGCAAAGCCGGTCATGGGGAAAGGGTCGGGACCTCTGGGGGTCGACGTAATGAAAAAATCATTACATCGGGGGTCTGGGTTCATATCAACCACCGCAACTCCCGCCCCGGAAAAATCTCAGGTTTGTCGACAAAGCAGCGCGAGCCATCATCCGTGCGCAGACGGTCGTCAGGGCCGAGAATGAAGGGGTTCGCGGGCCCCCCGCGACCGTCGGGCAATCTCAGATCCCAATCTCTAGCGAACGGGCGGGGGGGGCCCGTGCCCTCTGGCGTCGGCGACGCGGAACCACTCCCAGCCATGCCTTTTCAACAAAAAAAAACTGCTAGACTGATGGGGCCCCCCTTGCCTTTGATGGCCCGCGCGAGGTCCAAGTCGCGCCCCTTGTCGCCAATCCCTCGGGCCTGTCCTGCTGAAGTCGCGCCCCTTGTCGCCAATCCCTCGGGCCTGTCCTGCTGGGCACCTAATTGTGAGCATCTGGCTGGTGGCGAGCCCGCAGACGTTCGCGCCGCGGAAAGTGCTGGGGGGACGCCTGCCTGGAAGAGTCGCCGCTGCAGTTTCCTGGACGAAGACCATGGTGGCCCGATGCTGGAACTTCCTGGCGCTTCCTCCTGATCGTTCTCGAAGAGCCTCAGCTGGTGCTTGCCCGCTGCGACGCTAACTCCCAAGTCTTATGGGGCGTCGACCGGTTGTCCAGGCAAATGTCCAAGCCTCTTCTTGGCCAGCTTCAAAAGCTCTCTCGACTTGACCGCCGAGAACATTTTCTTCTCGGCTAGAGGTACTCTCAATCTCTGCGAGATAACAATGACCGAACTGGCGGCAAGCACGCAGTTCTGCTCCACGCAGTCAGCCGCCGAGGCGTGCCGCGAATGGAGGGGGGGATCGTCGACGTGAAATCCTTGGCCCGTTCCTTCCTGCCCTGAGCGCTGAAGAATGGTTCGGGGAAGAAAGACTTCGCTCGGAAGGTCGCGGAGGCGCTCCCTGCCGCAATCCCACGACAAGGAAACGAGCCTCGCCGCGCGCTCCCTCGGGCAGATGGTAGCGAGCCCATCGATGAGTAGCGACTGTGTAGATCACTATGTGGAGCGGGAACTTGGACGAGACACCCTGGCCAATGAGGCCCCGGTGGCAAATGTGCCCACGGCGCTGCGCGAGGCCCCGGAGGACGGCGGCGCGCCGTGGGCCCACTCCCGAGGCCAACTCTGATGGCGCACCCCGGCGGCAGACCGTGCCCAGAGCGCTGCGGCCCTGCCCCGCTGCCCAACTTCTCGTGCCCAGCTGCAGCGCGGATTCTGCCGAGTCTCCCCGCGGGGCCTCGCGAACCCATGTTGAGCCCAATCGGTCCCCTTCCCTCGTCTGGCCCCCCCGTCAGGAACGCGATGGGCCCCTTGGCGCCGGCGGGGGCCTGGCCCAGGACATCGACCAGGTGGTGGAGGAGGGCGAGGGCCCCCGAAGCCCCGTCGGACGCGAGGCTGAGGCGCCCACGGCGAAACCCATCAGGGGCACGAGTGAACTATTCGAAGTGAGGGCTGGCAACGTTCAACCGACGAGGGCTGACAGGGGGGCCCCACTGGAAATCGCACCGGCGGGAGGTCCACCTCGCGGTGGCCAGGCTCTTTGCCAACGGCCCGCGCAACTTTCCAGAGACGTCGCTCCTCGGCGAGTCGAGCCAGCAATGAACTAGACAAAAGAGCCACTGGAAGGGGCCGATTCGTCGGCGACAGGCCCCCCGCACCGCGGAAAGCTCGGCGCCTGACGCGCGTGGGCCGGTCCGCCCGTGATTTCTCGGCTCTTGACTTGTTCTCAACTTGGCCCACGGACGCCCGCTGTTCCAAGAAAGCCACAAGATGCCCCAGAAATTGGCCGCTAGACTGGTCGGGAGCGGCAAAGAGTGGGGTGTCCAAGAGAGGGGGGGGTGCAAATCATGACCGGCGGCATGAGCGAGGGGGCCTGGGACGTAATGAAGTAAGAAGAGGCGCCATGAAATCTGCGGAAATATCATGGCCCCCGCCATGATATCCACCCCCCCCTAGTCATCACCCCCTCTTTTCCGCTCCCGACAAGTGGGAGGACTAGACGCCCTCCCGGGACAGCGCGCGGAGCCCCGCGAGCCTCGAGCGCACCCGCCGGAAGGCCCGACCTGGAGAAGCATGATGGCACTGCTTAGCGGCTAAGAAGGTCTTCGGGGGCACGGGCTCAAAGGCTGCAGGGAGGAGGAGGAGGAGGAGGAGGAGGAGGAGGAGGAGGAGGAGGAGGAGGAGGAGGAGGAGAAGAGGGAGGAGGAGGACAGGGAGGAGGAGGAGGGGGAGGAGGGGGAGGAGGAGGGAGGAGGAGGAGGGAGGAGGAGGAGGACAGTGCCTGAAGAACGCCCGCGGCCACCGTGGCCATGGCCTTCGTCGAGGGCCCAAGTCGGGTGGAGCGCGTCGAGGCTCTCGGCGCCCACCGCGCGCTCCTCGACAGCGGCCGTGCACGACGCTTTGGCGTCGTCCTTCCTGGGGCCGCTCGTGGTGTTGGGGCATGGCTTTCGTTCCCAGACATGATGGCGTCGTGAAAAAATCAGGACGGAGGGTTTTTCGCTATTTTCGGCCCCTGGGGGCCCTCGCCGGGCCTCGGGACCGTCAAAAAACGACTCGGGACGAAAAACCGGCCCCGGGGAAAGGGTCTGGACTTCCAGGGACGCCGTCCTGAAAAAATCAGGACGTCGCATGTCTGGGGTTAGTATAGATGACAGTTCTCGCTAACGGAAGCAACGCTCCATTCAGCAACATTCTCTCGCTGGGCCCGAAAAAAGGCAGCTGCGGAGCCCCTCGGTAGTTCCGGAGCCCCGAGAGAACGCCGCCGTGGCCGGGTGATGTCACCGCGGGTCCTACGATGGGGCGCAGGGCGCACGCGCCGGCACTTCCCGGTGACCTTCGCGCGCGCGTCTCCCAGGGCCCGCCTGACAGCTGCGCGGGCGGGTCGATGGGGGCCGAACGGGGCGCTCCAAGCCGCGCGCGAAACCTGCGAAGCCGGGTCGCAAAAAAAAAATTGCAAAAAAAAAAATGCATTTTTTTTTTTTTGGGAATCCTTCTGATCACGCATTAATCGATGGCCGACGACGAGTCGGGCGCGAAATCAGGTCCTCCGCGGCACGAACATCTGCGCTGACCCGAATTAACTCAGAGGGGGCCAGCTGTGAAACCGGCGGGGCGCGCAATGAGGCCCCCCCCCCCTCCGATTATACATATGATGCCGCGGTTGACAATGTCTTCCCATAACCTCTCGCGATTTCAGCCCCGGCTCCTTTCGCGTCGATCGAATCCTCGAGGCAAGCAGCATGGATGGCGAAGACACCTAGCCCAGCACTCCTGAAGTCGCATCGGGCAACGCGCCCTTGTGCTGCACCAGGCGAGGCCCCAAGCCTCAAGATCTTCGCGCATGGCTATCACCGCGCCCCCTGAAGGTCTATCCGAGCCCGGCCCCGACAAAATTCGCCGGCCCAACGGGCCAGAGGCGTGCTAAGATCTCCGGTAACTGGTTAACAATTGTATTGTACTAGTTCGCGCGCGCGGGGCGGCCCCTGGGGGTCCCCCGGCGAAAAGTACCCCGCCCGCCGCCTGGCCAGGTCCCGCCCGGTTCAACTCAGAGATGGTTTTCCTTCTGGGTGCGGCCTCTCAGGCCGCCCTGAGCGCGCCAAGAGTGCCCCA